ACATGAACAGAAATGTGAAGGTGGCCAGCAAGCTGTTGGGTGTTCCACAGATGTCATTAGCTGTTATATTTGACCAGCAGGTCCTCCGCAAAGCCAGGGCCATACTAGCCTGTACAAGTCACCCCCTTCACCAGGAATTTGAATCTCTTCCATCTGGACGTAGATTTAGAGTGCCCCGGGCCAAGTGCAATAGAACTAAAAACTCCTTTATTCCCCGTGCAATAACTCTTTCAAATTCTGATATGTAAGGCACATGTGAAATTAGCACTTTAAATGTTTTTCACTGTGGGTTTTATTGTTGTTATTGTGATGTACTGTATTGTTTTTATGTATTGTACTATTCATTCTGTGCTGTTTTAAATGGTCTGTCCTGACTGCAAGAAAAGTTTCCCTTTTGGGACAATAAAGTTACCTGACCTGACCTGTCACTGTGTACATGTCAGAGTAAAAAATAGCAACATATTAAATTCACTGCAGGTAACTCATGAAAAATTAGAATTACCACCTTATGATTTTGTTTATACTGGACAGGATGGGGATGAAAAACTCTAACCTGAAAAGTAACTAAAGCTGTCAGTCATATAGTGCAGTTAGAGGTACAATATTTACCTCTGAGATGTAGTGGAGTAGTATACAGTTGCATAAAATGGAAATACTCAAGTAAAGCACAAGTACTGATTTAGTACAAGTACTTATGACGCTACTGACGTACATATAGTTACATTCCCCACTGCTCCTCTGATTGACTTTGAGATTAGAATATACAGAAATAAAGAATGACTGCTATTAAAAATGGAGGCCTAAATGGTGTGTATTCTCAAGGTACACCTGTATTTGTATCTATGCACAATAGCTTCTATAAGGTGTGTTATCACTCTTATCACGACATATGTTTGTATTTATTTACTAATATGAAATAACAATTCACAACCAGCTATTACTCACGAAATATTTAACAAAATAATTCAAGAATTCATTTGAAATTTTTTTAAAATGACACCAAAGCAGCAATAACATATCCATTTGAAAAGGAAATAATGTAGGATAATGTAAGTATGTGATGTGCCACACACTTAATTTGATTTGATTTAATTTAATTTAATTTAATTTAATTTAATTTAATTTAATTTAATTTGCCTCTTTATAAGAAATGGGTGTGCACAACAAACTGATACAATCACTAAAAAATTCATTCATAACTTTTTATATAGGCCCAGTTAAATATTGCATTGATAATGTGTGGTTATCACAAAATCCCACAACACCTGGACTTGCAGCACGCCATTTGAGAACCACTCACTTACTTAGAGTAACCACGGCTGAATTAACCTGCAGGGCACACACATGATGAGCAGTTCAAAGAATGGTTGGATTAACCTTTTATTTCAAGTACAAAATACTACTTTTTGTTTGTTTGTTTGTTTGTTTGTTTTTTTACAGTTTATATTTGATGTCTAAAAAACATTTCAAGATGTGAGCAGAGCTGCACCCAGAATATAAAAACCAAAACATTAAATTCACCTAAGGTAATGTATGAAACAACTAGCAAAGCAAAAATACATTTTCTTTATCATGCAGAAAAAAAAATGTTATATGTTATGTTTAATGGCTTGCTGGCCCATCTATGTGCTTTTGCCTTTAGAATGCAAAGTTCATATAAGCATTGATTACTGTCACCAAAATAGTAAATGAATGGCAAATTCTTGAGAAGATGCAGCTTTCACATCTGTCTTCAGCTCTCTGCTCAGGCTTGTGTAGTTTTCTTCTTCTCACTGACGTATGAAAAACCAAGAGAAGTCACTGAGATGTAGAGCAGGAGAAAAAAACATCTCAATATGTGTGTGATGTAGCAGCTACATCATCACCAGATTATGTTTCTGTTTATGTCAGTAAATCAGTTTGTTTGATTAAATTAAATAAATGTTCTACATGTTTACATTTTGTTCACTTACACCATCTCCTTTAACTTGAAAACACCACAAGACAATAACACAGATCTCAAACCATGCTGATACTCATCCTCAAAGTATGAAACACGTTTACATTGTTTTGTCTGAAACCAGAAATTAAGGGTTTGCTGTAGTTGGAATCTGTAAACAGAGAAAGAGAGACTCACAGGAGAGACGCTAAATTAAACACAGATCAACAATGATAAAACAAAAGTAAACAGAGACATCCCATCTTGCTTTGTATCTGCAGGTGTTGTACCTGAAGGCAGCATGATTACAGACGTGACCTTTTTATTTATTAGTGTTATTCTTTTCCACTTATCTGTGGCTTCACAGAACAAACACAAACAATTATTAAGTTATGTCAGCGCTGCGATCAACACGAACTTCTGACAGGTATCAGCCTTACATCTAATTATTGACCTCAGGAGAGCCACTGAATCTGTGTTTGGCACCATGATAGCTTCAAACTCTCTTGTTTACAGATGAGTCCAGTTTTCAGCAGTGAAAGTAGATCCATTTCTTAAGTGAAACAAACAGTTCAACAATCTGAAAATAATCCATCACAAGTCCTGCATTCAAAATCCTACTGAAACTGTCCAGATGTCCCCGTCCAGTCCCATGGACAGAACTTTTCTAGGATGTGTAGATCACTGTCGTCTGAAAATGCACAGACTCACACAATGGGATGTCTATAAAGTGTTTTACATCATCTGAAGTGGACTGCCGTCAGACATGGGATTAAGTCCCACATGTGCAAGTCATAAGCAAGTCTCAAGTCATAACCTTCATGTCTTTAGCAAGTTCCAAGTGACTGTGGGGAAAATCAAGCAAGCCAAGTCAAGTCCTATAAGTCAAGCAAGTCGAGTCAAGTTATTAGTCGGGTCCCACACAAATCAAGTCCCACTCACAAACTCATAAAGGTAAGATAACATAAGCTACACCCAGTGGTGGAATGTAACTAAACATATTTACTCAAGTACTGTAAGTACAAATCTGAGTCTTTTCTTCTCATGCCACCGTTTACCTCTACTCCACTACATTTATCTGACAGCTTTAGTTACAAGTTACTTTACAAGCTAAGATTTTTGCACACAAAAACAAATGAAAATATTCAAGTACAGCTGGAGGTATGAGTCAATTACTGAATTGACAGAAAAAAATGGGCACTATTTTGATAATCATCTGAGTCGTTTATTGACGCAAAAACATTTAAATTTAATAAAATATTTTCTTCTTGAGATGAGGAACCCTCAACAACATGACCATTTGTAAATCAATCAGTCATACCCGCCGCGTGACCTTGAATTTTGTTGGTTTTGTTTGTTTGTTTTGTCATATGCCTCCACAGATAATGGTGAACGTATTATTTTATGGATTGACTGGGGACCACGTTTAACAACAACAAAACTATATCAAAATATCTGTTTATAAACTCTCACACAACTCATGCAGAATAACCAAAGTCTCATTTATTTTGTGCTTCACAAACACATAGAGTTTCACTAAAGCCTCACTATGTAAATGCAGATGTTTGAGAATTATTGAGCATATGACTGGGTTTTTTAGCAGATGTTTTAATATAAAACATCCATATTCTGTTAAAAGCTTTCCCCAAATGTTCAATAAATTGTTTTCCATGGGCAAGAAATACAAAGTTTTCTTCTTGATTTCAAGGTAACACAGTCTCACTTACTGACTCATGTTATGGGAGAAATATTTATTTATTTAGATAGATAGATAGATAGATAGATAGATAGATAGATAGATAGATAGATAGATAGATACTTTATTGATCCCAAACGAGGAAATTCTTGTGTTACAGCAGCAAGTAATCAAACAGTACTATGTGGACAGTAATATCAATCAATCAAACGTTATTTATAAAGCACTTTTTATACAGAAACAATGCAACACAAAGTGCTGCACACAATAAAAACAAAAACTATATAGAATAGAAAACAATTTTTAGATCCGTCAATAAATAAGTAAATAAATAATTTAAAATAAATAAATAAGTAACAAAATAGAAGAATATGCAGCTAAAAAGAAAGATTAACAAAAATGAATATAAAAATAAACAATAATCCTAATTACAAAATAAAAATAATAAATAAATTAATACATATAATAATAATAATAATAATAATAATAATAATAATAATAATAATAATAATAATGAGAAGAAGAATGATAATAATGATAATGATGATAATAATAATAATAAAAATAACAATAAAAATAACGATGATAATAATAATTATAATAATAATAATAATAATAATAATAATAATAAAAAGGCAGTTCAATTAAAAGCCAGGCTAAAAAGGTAGGTCTTGAGTTTGCTTTTTAATAATTTCTCAAGACAGATTCTGCAATTTGCATTTGCAATTTATTTATTTATTTATTTATTTTACCGGTGGATTTCCAGATTAGCTTTTTAAAAACATCAAATACTGATATTTAAAATATACAAGAGAAATATACAAGAATAAAATAAAAAAATATCAAAATTGTAATTAATTATATCCACAACACAGAGAGAAGTGAGGAAGAGGTTGTAAAAAATGTGCAAAACAGCTGCAATGAGCTCTGACCAGGGGACTTGTTAAACAGACTTGTGAAACCACATGATCGCATTGAAACTGATGGTGGTGAATTACTGAATAAAATATGAAATCACCTCCTCACTTTGTCAGATTATCAACTTTTCCTCTCAGGTCAGATACACTCTTCATCATGTCACACACCGGCTGGCTCTTATTAAGCTATTTTACAGAAAACACAGGTAGATTCAAAATCATTTATATTTGGGCCCAAACGTTTCCATGGTAATTATCAGTGCATTTTTTAGAAAAAAAAAACAAGCCTCTGCGGCACGTGCGTCATCGTTTCAGAACGTAGCCGCTGCCTATATAGGGCCGCTCAGCCCAGATCCTGTCAGTGTACATCTTGCCACCCACAGTGTCAGATCAACACAAACTTTGCCGGTTTACTGAGAGAAGAGATTTTTGTAACTCGATTCAAACAAGCACTTCATTATTGTCTACGATGTCTCGGTGAGTTCTGGTGTCTGGTGTCAGGGGAAATCAAAAGGACAGGACATCTGTCATTCACTGCTTTCAGCCAGTTTCCTAAAAACTGATGTGTGTAGCTGACACAATTTTTATTGCAGGGCTGCAGCTAACAGTTAGGCTATTGTTGGTATTTTTTAATTAACGTTAGACGATTCGATTGTTTTCATGATTAATTGTTTAATCAATAAAAATGTCTTTAAAATGCTTCAAAACCCAGAGACTCTTCAGTCAGCCTGTAAATTACACAGAAAGAAAGCAGCAAATCTCACATTTCAGAAGCTGGAAGCAGCAAATGTTTGACATTTCTGCTTAAAAATGACTGCAACCATTTATCTGTCATCAAAATAGTTAGCAATTAAGTTTCTTTTAATTGATTAATCAACTAATTTACTTTAAATGTCTCAGCACACGAGTCTCCTTATTATCCTTCAGGTTTCTTGATCTAATTTTCTGCACATACTTTTTGTGTCATGTCTGTTGTGTGACTTGTGCACTAACATGCAAATGTCCCTTTTCAGTTCAACTGAGACTGAAGCTCCACTGTTCCCAGACACCACACAGTGGTATGGGCTCACTCCCCCGATCAGTGAGGATCTGCCTGAAGAGGCTGACTTGATCCACACCGCATCCCTGACTGAGATTTTGAAATCTAATGATGTATTTGAGGACCACTTGGAGCTGCAACACAGGTATGACACACCAGTCACTGTTTCCATACAGTGATGAAACAGCTTGGAGTGGTAGGGCTCAGAAAGATGATTTTCAGTGTGTTAAAAAATGCTCTGTGTGTTTTTTTAATTTGCAGAGAGAGAGTTGTGAAACGACTGGAGTCCCTCTATAAGGAATGGCTCAAAGAAATGTGTGTCCAAATGGTAAGACATCTTTATCTGTACTGTTTTGTCGTTGTTGTTTCAAAAGTAACTCCAGATATGACACTGAAAACATGTTACTGTGTTGTTAATACATTTTTATTATCAATTTTTCTGTGGTTTTAGAACGTACCTGAAACAGTCACCGCACACGTTGGCGGCAAGCTGGTCCCGTTTGGCTCCTATCATCTGGGGGTTCACTCAAAAGGTAAGTAGTTTCTGTCCTCAGTTGTGAGAGCATGTTAGGACTGTGGCAGCACAGAAGTTCATGACTTTACTGATAGATTTGCTGGCCATCAATTTCACATGTGACACCTAAATGTTGTAGTCAAGGGTCACGCAGCGAGAACGTCCACTACATGGTGAAAATAGACTCTCCTCTCATATGAATCTGTGCTGTCCTGACAGGAGCTGATATCGATGTCCTCTGTGTCGGACCCGGTTTCCTGGAGAGGAAAGACTTCTTCACCTCCTTCTTTCAAAAGCTGAAAGCTCACGAGGACGTCAAAGACATACGGGTGAGTCTCTAAGTGATTCACTGTGTGCAAGTGAAGTGACATGTTTGTCCCCGTTGCAAGTGACTGACAGTGTTGTTGTCTTTAGGCCATTGAAGAGGCGTATGTCCCCGTCATCAAACTGTCCTTCGATGGAATTGAGGTAAAGTGGCCTTCGAGGAAAAAGTGAAAACTCTACTGTGTGCAATATCCCTCCATTAATGACTTGTCTTCATCATTGTTTCTGTGCTCCTGTTATTTTCCAGATTGACTTAGTGTTTGCCCGGGTGCAACGCAAAAGCGTCCCTGACAACCTGGACCTCCTCGACAACAACTTGTTGAAGGGTTTAGATAAACAGTGCGTCAAGAGTCTCAACGGTGAGCATCAGATTATATTCATCAGCATGGTTCAACATAGCTGCACTCCTCTCTGATGTTTTTGTGATGCAAACTCTGACTCTTTTTATATGTGAACCTTTGTCTTATTGTGTTCTGTAGGCTACAGAGTCACAGAGGAGATCCTCAGGAGTGTGCCCAACGTTTATAACTTTAGGCTCACCCTGAGAGCCATCAAGCTGTGGGCCAAACGTGAGCTGAACACACACACACCACTACTAGACTTTCTATCTTTGACATAGTACCTTAAAAATATTGATATTAGACAACATTTTCGATACCATGGTGATAAAATTGAGGGCATACAACACATTTAAAAACTCAGTTTGCAGCAGGCTAAAGCAAGAGAGCAGGCCATAGTCATCATCATCATCACCATCACGTAACAGTGTAAACTAAACTTTGTCTTCTTCCTCTTCAGGCAGGAACGTCTACTCCAACATGCTGGGCTTCTTGGGTGGTGTCTCATGGGCCATACTGGTAGCCAGAATCTGCCAGGTGTACCCAAACGCAACACTGTCCACCCTGGTGACCAAGTTTTTCAAGGTCTACAATATGTGGTGAGTTGGTTTTATTGAAAGTCACTTTGTTGGCACTGACATTCACTGTAGTCAAGGTCACCTCACTTGATTATGAGTGAGTCTAGTTAAGGCCTCGCCAGTGTCTCTGTGGTGGATTGTCAGTGCATGTTAGTTTACATTTTGAGATGTTCTGAAAATGTTGTGTTTTGTGTCAGGGAGTGGCCGACCCCGATTCTGCTGAAGAGAGCAGATGACTGCCACTTCAACCTCCCTGTGTGGGATCCCAGGGTAAGACCTCAGCACCACTCTCATTAGCATTTAGGTGTAAAATCACGTCAGTCAGTTATAAAATCTGCTCAGAAGCACACAAAGCTGAAAACACTGTGTTCTTCTGCTTCTCCAGGTTAATGTAAGCGATCGCTTCCACCTGATGCCCATCATCACCCCAGCATTCCCGCAGCAGAACACCGCAGTCAACGTGTCTCCCTCCACCCTGACCATCATCACAGAGGAGATCGAACGTGGTATGTGGTCTACATCCAGGCCTTTTAGACTTCAGTTACTGTGCTGTAATGTTGGATTAAGTTGACAGGATTTAGCCATGTTCAGCTTCAAAAATATTACAAGGATTCAATTCATGAAGCAAAGATGGACTTTTGTTTAACAAGCTGTCTCTTCCTCACTCACAGGCTTTGCCATCACAAAAGAAATCCAGCAGCAGAACACAGACTGGACCAAACTCTTTGAGAAACCAGACTTTTTTGAGAAATACGAGTATGTATTTTCACTAGCGCTGAAAATGAGGATTGCCACATTCAAAATACTCTCACATATACACCACTCTCTAAAATATGGACATTTCCAACTAGTGTTTACAATTGTTACATTTTCATATTTCAAACATATTCCTTGAGCCTTTTTTATTGTTTAAATATGCCTCCAAAAAGGCAGAGCGTTATATCCGATGTTTTATGTTCCTTTTGTAATAAAGATATTTATATGTATGTAAAAAAGTAAACCATGTGTAAATGCTCCTGTACTTCAGTACCCTATGTGCTCAAAATTAAATGATTTATTTCACATTTTGTACTTTTTATGTACCGTACTGCGTGTTTGAATTATGTCAACGTGAATCTGATTTGTTTTTACACATTGTCCTTTAAAGTGCATGAATTGATATTTCAGACTCTGTACGTTGCATAATGTAACCAGTATGGTTTTGCTGACTGCTGACCTAACATGAACTGTTGAATGTGCTAAACTGACGTTTGCATTTTGCTTTTATAATCATCACTGTTATTATTTATTATTGTGCGACTGATTTAAATTTGTATTTCACATCGTTTCAATTGCTGAATGTCACTTTCTTAATAAACGTGCAGACACGGTTTTACTGTTTGCTATAATGGACTGAAGCTTTTTCACTTGATTTAAGAGTTTCTGTTATTTGTACTGTGTCTCTTAAATGTCCCGTTTAATAAATTCGCTGCGTGTTGTGATCTCTTTTTTAATTTTAGCAAATTTGTCCTGAAACTTGATACGGTTAAGGATGTACTGCAGTTACCAGCAGAGTCAGAAGTGAGCAGATGTGTTATTGAAATTTAGCATTAAATACACAAACACAGATTCATTACAGGAGCCCGTTACTTTCTAAAGACCTCAGCATACAGTTTGTCCTTTAAAGGGACAGTTCGCCTAAAGATCAAAACTACATATTTTGTCTCTTACCTGTAGTGCTATTTATCAGTCTAGATAGTTTGCTGAGTGTTGGAGATGTCTGCCTTCTTTCCAATATAATGAAACTAGAACTAAACTCGGCTCAAAGTGCAAAAAATAAATTTGAAAAACTCAACAGCAATGTCTCTTTCCAGAAATCATAACCTGGTTACTCAAGATAATCCACAGACCTTGTTGTGAGCAGTTTCATGTAGGAACTATTTTCTCTCTACCAAACTACACCTGCAAACCGTATCACTGTGCACCACTGAGCTAGCTAATGTTACAGCTCAGCTGATGAGGATGCCATTAATATTTAGATTTCGCACTGCTATGAGCACGAGCCTCTTGCCCATGAGTAGATACACGCTTCCTTCTGCGTTGTGATTCTGTTTGCAGGTGTAGTTTGATTGAAAAAAAGTAGTTCCTACATGAAACTGCTCACAACAAGGTCTGTGGATTATCTTGAGTAACCTGGTCATGATTTCTTTCCTCCATCTTTGTTCTGTAGCTTAGGTCTGGTTTTAGTATTGATCAGAAATTGCTTCAAGTATGACTATTGGTAAAACAGGAAGTATGATTCATGTAGTAAGATACCAGCCTTTATACAAAGGCACAATGCTGTTACACCTGCTGCCATTATTCTGTCTCTTATGTTTCAAGGCACTACATTCTGCTGGAAGCTACGTCAGCTACAGAGACACAGCATCGTGAATGGTGAGCACACACAGCAAAGCACACAAGAAGCCAAGTTTCAGTCAAACTGGAACCAATGTAGGCTTTTTTTGTAAATCATATCTTTGGGAGAGAAGGCCTCTTGTTGTGTTTCACACTGAGGAGAGACTGTTTTAATATCTGATTTTTACATATTGTAGTGCTTTGTGAACATGATGTTTTGCTTCCTGTGTCAGGGTTGGCCTGGTGGAGTCTAAAATCAGACTCCTGGTGGGACGTCTGGAGAGAAATGTCAACATTTCCATGGCCCACATTCAACTGCAGTCCTTCCCTGGACCAAGAAACTGCAACATCAAGTAAGGACATGTGATGATTAATTAATTAATTTCTAATTTCTACTAACTTGACTCTCAGTTTTCAGTAGCATCAAATTCAAATGTCTTCATATTGAGGTGTTAGATGTGTTAACTTAGTCAACTCATCAACCTTTATGTCTGTGTCAGAGGCAGAATGAGCACCAAGTGGCTGATCGGACTGCTCTTTGATATGAATGGGTCTAAACACCTAAAAATAGACCTGACCCTCGACCTCCTCTCCTTCAGTGATACAAGTATGCTTTCTGAACTTTTGCTGATTCAGTAGAAATGGAACAATGCTGAGTGAAATTTAAATCCTATTTTCATCTTGTGCTGTTGCAGTCTACAGTCAGGCAAAGAGCTGTAAGATGTACAAGGAGGAGATGACCGTATCGGCCACCTACATGAGCAGGAACAGTCTCAGCTGGGAGATGCCTAATGGAAAGTGCAAAAGCGTTTACAATCCAAAACTGAAGCCCACAGCGAGCCGCCAAGTCTCTGCCACTGCAACAGCGAGTCACACACCAGCTGTCAGCGCAGACCCGGCAGCCACAAAGAGAAAAGGCTGCTTTGAGTCTGAGATGCCATCCAAGAAGGCCAGAATTGACACAGTACGCCAAACCATTCCATGATGTGAAAACACTGTTGGTGTTTTAAAGGGATAGTTCCACATTTCTAGAAACAGCAACTACAAAAAACATTGTCCTTGTTCTCTGCAGGAATCTGTGTCTACGGCTAAAGGCTCAGCTGTTCGACCACTGGCGCCCAGCAAACCTGCCCCACCAACCACGACTCCACAGGCCAAAAAGAGACCTCGTTCTCCTCAGTCAACTTCATCTAAGAAGTTTAAAGCTGACGAGGAGCCAGCCAAAGCCACCTGCTCTCAGTCCTCTGCAGGTGTCGCACCAGGTGTCTCACTCAGTCAGAGATCTCAAAGTGCAATATCAGGAGGCACCAAGAGAAAGCGCTCTCCTGAGCCTGAGACACGCAATGTAAAGGCCAAAGTTGACCTGGTTTGTACATGATAAATTAAGACCTATTTGCTGCCCTGACCCAGTGTGTACTTAATAACATGCTGATTTGTTACTGACCTTTCTGCCGCTTCCCTCTCAGAGTCCACCCACTGAAGAGCTGTCAGGGCTGATTACTGACTATCTCAAGCCTGTTTCAACTGTAAGACGAGCCATCAAGCTCCAGCTGATCAGGTACATACACAGTGTTAAGAATAGAAACTTCTCCTCAGTCCCTCCAGCTGCACACACTTCTTCTGTTTTCTACTTGCGGCCCATATGAGCGACATCCTCACATACTTTTACATGTACATGCATTTACCAGATATAAACAATGTGGCAGCTGATCCCTTAATATATATATTTTTGATCGCACCCATGGGTGACCTGTTGAGGGAAGAAGTGTTACATGCAACTCTTTGAATGTGTAAATTTTACAGCCCTTTTTCCTTCTTGTGTCTCTTACAGAAGGCATAAACGACTCAGCTCCTGACCAAGAGGGGAAACAACATCCTTACCCTCCATCACCAGTCACCATTTATTTACTTCATTTTATTCTTATTGTTAAGTTTCCTTTGTTTTTTTCTGGGCAGACGCTTTATAGTCTGAACCCAGCATTATTATTAGTAGTTGTAGTGGTTGTATTTCATTGTAAATAACTTGTGTTTGTATTATAATAAAATGAATTGTCTCCAAACTTACTGTAAACTTGACTGTATTCGCTCGATTGCACAAAAAAAAAAAGTGAAAACAAAGGAAAACAGAGGTATTCGTTTTTGCAAAAACCCTCCTCCACACTTTAAAACATGGCACACTGTCTAAATAAAATGATAAACACTGTAATGTTCTGTCATTTTGATGCAATATTTGAGCTGCTCCAGGGTCGATCTGAGCAGCAATGTCTAGAAAAACTTTAGGAAATTCATCCTACTTTTAAATAAAGCTTCAAAGATATGGTACTTCACCCTGCAGACTTTGAATTCAGGTTGCCAGAGTTACATTATGGCAGATTTAGTACACATATATACAGATTTGATTGAACCTCAGTGATGTCAGTGTAATTCTGGTGTTTCAGTGTCATTCAACAGCACAAAGATACTTTTAAATGCCGCCACAAAATGGCATGTGGTATTCAATTAATAATTTCATCGGATCATGGCAGCAACAAAGCAACAAAACACTATAAAAATTAATAAATAAAAGAAAAAAGCTGACAATGAGTAAAGTTTAAGCCCCTCATAGGTTCAGATGACAGTGTCTCCTGGACTTCTGTCTGACTGCACTGTACCTGACAGCAAAGTGGTTTTTGCCTCACTCACAAAGTATCCAGGAAGATGTAAGAAAATCAGCTGACCTGGGTGAAGAAGAACAAATGGAGGCACGCAAGACTTTTTAAGGGTGACAGAAAATATTAGCTTAATGACCTCTGACCCCTTTAGACGGCACTGTATTAAAAACCAACATGACTGTATAAAGGATATTACTTCATGGGCTCAGGGACACTTTGGAAAACCATTGTCAGTAAACACAGTTTGTCACTGCATTGAGGTTAATGATGACAAATGATGACAAATACAGTAAAAAACTATATATACAATGCGTTTTTAAGCATCAGTTTATTCATTGATGTGAGTTATGAGTTTCATGAATAATGAATTAAGTAATTAATTTAAAAAAAGGTTCTAAAGACCATTTATACTAAATCCAGTCAGAACCAGTGATGTTACAAAAACACACAAAGGACAGAGGTATTATTGGCCACAGGTCAAAGGTCAGAGGTCAAAGAGGTCTGGCAACTGGCTTAATTTCCAACAACAGTGTATTTTATAAGCTCATCATGTGTTGTGTTCTGTAAGATCTTATAATGACAAGTAACTACAGCAGATAGTGGAGCAAAAAGTTGGGCAAACTTCCGACCTACCTCTGCTTCCATCTGTGTGTCAGCTCTGGTAGTTACCAGCTACGGTCCTCCACATCGTTGCTTTTTAATGTTTCCAGGGTTTTAACAGATCTGGGGGAAACTGCGTTCTCCTACTCTGCACCATGGACACTGATGTAGTACTGATGTAGTGTAATATAGTGATGGACACTATATTCTTCACAAAGATCTAAAATTAGAAAACCCTTACATCCATTGATGAATTTAAGGGCATATCTAAAAGAATGCGGTGACAGTGTTTTAAATGTGTTTTATTGGCTGCTGCCTCGGCCAGGTCTTTCTTGTAAAAGAGAATTTCAATCTCAATGTGACTTACTAGTTAAATAAAGGTCAAATAAATGAAAAATAACAATAAAATGCAGTAACATCTCCCTGAAGTGTAGTGGAGCAGAGGTAGAGAAGGAAACTTTTGTGCTTGAGCTCATACAGTAAAACTTCACAGCATTCAGGTTGAAATGTATTGTTATTTATTATTGGTTGAAAAATGTTGTAGCCTACTTCACTATCTGACAAAGAAATATGAATTTCTACAAATCCACTTTACAAAATCAAAAGGAATTGCCAGTTTTGTTAAAAAAAAAAAAAAAAAATCATGTAATGGTGACTAGATGTAGATAGATGCAGTTCGTTGTTTGCACACGGGGTGGCGCACTAGAGCTGGTAACACAGGTAAGGTGCAGGTGATGAGCAGCAGGTGTGTGACGGAGGAAGCAAACAGTTTTGTGACCGTGCAGCGTGGCAGCAGGAAGAGATTATATCGTGGTGAAACAGGAACTGATGAATGGAAACTTGGACACTGAACTGTTGGATGGACACTAACGTGTGACGGACTCTGAAACTGTGAAGTGGAAACCTGCCTCAGATGAATTATGGACACACAATGTTTTACCTGTGTGAAGGTGAGCACATGTGAAAATAAATGGGTCCCCCCGTTCACCCCACAGAGCATTACATGTGACGTGTTTTATTGAAAGACTCTACAAAATGATTTAAACCAAACTACTTTGCAGCACAGCACAGAGTGAACTACTGCTGTTATAAACATCAAGGCTGACTGGCTCCATCTTGTGGCCACACTGTGAAGCACCTGGAATAGCAGATCATAAAAGCAGGTTACCTCATTGAAAAGCAGACATTTGAAAGCACTACATCTCTAAAGACCTGAATATTTATGTTTAACTAAAACATTTATTTAACTGATATCAAACAGTTTAATCAAGTCTTTGTCTCTGTAAAACACAGTGAAACTAGATAACATGCGTGGAAGCCCATTTCTGCCTGTGTGATGGAAAAAAACCTTAAGTCTTTATGACGAGAACCTTCTCAAAATGTTATTTTAATAACACAAAGTTTTCTCAAATTAATGATGCAGTATCTCAAAATAGTGAATTAGTGCCACTTGAGGTGCACCACCCACCCAAACAGCACTGCGGACCAAGCGCCCCAGGAATGGCCCAAATAAAAGATTATAAGGTATCGACCTGACCTCCAAATTCCCCAGATACTGATGTGACCGAGCGTCTGTGGGATGTGCTGGTACCCCACAGCACTCAAAGGATCCACTGCCAATGCCTTTGTGCCAGACACCACAGGACACACCCAGACATCCTGTGTCTGTGCCTCAACAAGTCAGAGCCACATTGGATCCAAAATGGGGCCTCAGACCTGTTGAGCCATGGACACAGGACCTCTGGGGTACCATCAGGTCCCACAGATGCTCACTCAGATTGAGATTTGGGGAATTTGGAGGCCAGATTGAGGCCTTGAGGGGGTGTGTTTGAGAGTGTGATACACATCAGGTGGCATCCACATAAAAGCCAGGACTAAAGGTGTCTCAGCGATCTGTAACAATATGGGCAATGTTATTCACTTCACCTGTCATTGGGTCTAATGTTTTGGCTGATTAGTGTATATAAATGTGTTTTTTGTTTAGGTAAAGTCAAAAGTGCAATATTTGCCTCTGAAATCTGGTGGATTTAAGTATGAAGGAGTGCAAAATGGAAAAACCCAAGCACAAGTTTGTCAAATTGTACAGTACTTGAGAAGATGACTGTTATTAGTTATTATTAATAACTATTATTAATTAGTTATTCCAACACTGACTGCACTGCATGAATGACACTGAGGAATAAATAAATTGCTCAGTGATGGTTAGACAGCTCTTGGAACATGTCAGAAAACAAAACAAAAATAGTGTTAATATCTTTGAAACACATTCAGCTGTCTGTTCATGAGGCTAAATTTAGAGCGGCATTAAAAAATCAGTCAGGGTTTGTACTTACAGCTCTTGTACACTAACAGCATAAACAGTATCTTGTGAAGACAATATGAACCAGGGGCGTAAATATAGACAGTGCAGGCAGTGCAGTTGCACTGGGGCCCGCAAGATGGGGGGCCCTTATGAGTAAATGCCACCTTTTGAAATATGCCTGTTTTCAAAGAAAAAATGTCATTAAATTCAAAAATTATTATTATCATTTTGTAAAATAGTCAATAGCATCTATAACAAAAGACAACCAAGGGGAAAAAAGTCATACGCTTATTCCAAATAAACTACAATAAACTATTAAAATTGTTAAATGAAATCAATAATTTGTCATTTTCTTTGGTAGTTTTTGTGACATACAGACATGCAATTATGACTGCTGGCTATTGATTGATTGATTGATTGATTGATTAATATTTATCTTAATGTTATCCAGTGTCAAGCCTCTGATCATGTAACGAGACAACATGTGCACGACAAGCGTACACTATGGGGCCCGTCATAATAGCGTGCACTGGGGCCCATCATAACTACCTTACACCACTGATATGAATATCTAATTCTATAAGTATGCTTTTTATATTAAAAAAAAAAAAAAAATTGTAACAAAGCTAATATCAGTCAGAGCCTCAGTGCAGATCTGTCTTCAGATTCATTTGGATTTGTCTCCACCTGGTGATGTTTCTTTCTCAAACCTTCTTCCAGAGTATCTCGTGCATTGCATACACTGAAGCAACACATAAAACATTTGAAATTATTCATGTCACTTACACTGATTTGAGACTGTGTTCAAACCACTTTGTAGACGTACTGTGTCAAGATTTAACAAAAGGTTTTACAACTGAGTAAATGAGGTGCTTGTCATATTAAAGGAATACTTCATCTGCAGAATGACCTTTTGTATATCAGTTGTGTTATGTTACCTGGAATTAAAAAATAAACCGTTTCTCGAATGCCTCCATTGATCATGTGTCAATTTATTCATCGATTGAGGAACACATTTAACAACAGCAAAACATGCGTTTGAAAACACTCACACAACTCGTGTAGGATACATGCACTTTCACTAAAACCCATTTTAAAACTGAACTGAAAAATTAAACTTATCTTTACTGTCTTCAAAGCCAGACTCCAAACCAAGGTTTATTAATGAAAATGCATGCATCTGTGAAGTACTGAGCATACGACTTAATAAATGAGACTTGGATTATTGCGTGAGTTGAGTGTTTGAGTGAGAGTTTGTAAATGGATAGTTTTGCTGTTGTTAAACCTGCTCCACAATCAATCA